TACTTAAACTTTCCTACTTTACTTCTTATGAGCTTCCTTAAACAACCCCATAGAGTAACTAAAATAGATAGTTTAGGTGCTTTATAAAAGAAACTAAAAAGCTCAAAACATTTAAGGAATTTGCTCAAAGTCATGTTGCATGCAAGGATAGATCCAAAATGGAGTCCACATCTTCTGAGTCTTACAAATTAACAGGCAGGGCATTCAGAAAAGAACAGGGCAAATGGTCGTAAGCCTTCAGTAATGGTCTGAAGGGAAGAGCTCTCTAAGGCTCAGGTAATGACAGTGAGGGGACCAGCACACATTTGGGCAACCTCCTATCAGATGAGTCACAGACATTTTTACGTGGAGCTCTGAGAGACCACAGCAAAATGCACTAATCCTTTTTTGCCTGAGTTTGCTATTATATAGAACCAGATTAAAGAAACACAATGTTTAAACCTCACCAACTGATTTTGTGGATGAGTCCATCACTTTTCATAGTTTGCACCACAATTCTACAAATAATTCATTCAAAGTCAAATTACATAAAACAGAGAAATCACCTTAATATGTGATGTGTGTGTGTGTGTGTGTGTGTGTGTGTGTGTGTGTGTATTAGTATTTAGGTGTTTTGTACTTACAGAAAAACAAATTATCACAACTGCATTTGTTTCTCAGGCCATAAGTGACAACAAATGATATAACTCACAGGAACATAAACACCCTAAACATCCTTTAAAAACATGTATATAATATGCCATATTCCTAGATAATACACAGTATGCTATATTCCATTATTTACCAAATATATTTAATAAAATATTTTATGGACAATGGATGGTTCTTGAAATATCAGTAATAACCAATATATTTTGATTATCTTTAGTGATGTAGTTACAAAAACAAAAAACCTTATGATTGTTCCAAGTTCTCTCTATAGACCCATGCCCACAAAGTTCGTTTTCACATAGAGAATTATAAGTTACAGAAAACCACATATCGCGTCAGGAGTTTGTTTGAGTGTTGACACTTCCTTAGTGAATGTAGGCATTCTAGAAGCCTTATAGAAGGGAAACCACTTTTTTCCCCTTGAAATGTGCATAAAACGGTTACATTTTATGGTCAATTAATCACATCTTTTGTGTTGATTCTTCTTTTGCCCCTGGAAACATGCAGGGGAAAAATACCTAAATTTTTGAAAACTTAAAAAATTTAACTATCATAAACTTAGATATTAAGTTTCTTACAGCTAACACTTATTAGGTACATTTACATTTAAATGAGAAAAGTGTCATCACCATAGGAAGTATTATAATATCCCACAAACATCAACTAGAGTCAGAATTGTGAAATAAATAAAATTTCCATACCTCAAATTCAAAATATTGAATGTCACAATAGTGTGAAACACCTGCATTTTACCATATATGTACTTATGCTATATATTCAGATATACATGCATTTATAATTTGGACTAAGTTACCTTAAAAACAAATACATTGAGATCAAGTATTTTATAATTATCTTAAAGATATATGCTGTTGATACTGAAAATATACTCTGTGAGATTGTTGAAAATTAAATTTTAAAGATTCGATTGGAGCATTATCTATTTCTACTTTTCCCTTATCAAGAGAGCTACATAGTTTCAACCTGCCAAGATAAACCAGGAGCTGAATCTGTATGGGTGCCTGCGAGCAAGGAGAGAGGGTTGGAAAGATTAGTGGTAGAATCTCATCCAGTAACTGATGGAGTCCTATACTGACAGGGGGTGGCAGTGAGTCAGGAGGGCTTTGTTCTGAAAAATATACCCGAGACTCCCCACCAATGAAGTCCTGTGAATAAGTGCATTACATACTTCACTGCTCATACAAATATAAACACAAATGCTGGTTCAGAAGGCCTTGGAAGTATCCCCATGTGCTACTGCTTTGATTCTTTGCCTTTGAGATGAAGGATGGTGTTGTGGTTTCCTTCAGCTCTTAAATAATCTCATAAAGGACCCAATAAAGTTCTACAATCTTCTCTGGGAAACAACAAGGTTAGATTTACATACTTGAGAGTATCTCTCTTTCCATCTGGTGTTGTTACCTTCATTCTATACTCTTTTGTTTTCCCTCCAAAAGATAGAAGGTACAGAACAAGACCCCAAGACTAGTGTGCATTTTCCTAGCAAAATGGATATTTACATCAAATATCATAACTATACAAAAATGAGCATCAATTCACACACACACACACACACACACATTCGTTTCATGGACATAAGGTAGTAAAGCTAAATGTTTTAGGGACACGGTTGGCCAACCTTCTGTCATTGGGCCACCAGAATGACCAACCACCCTGGCTTCTTGATGCCATTTCAGATTATTCAGGGCCACACACTCACCGAGGGAGGATTCCCCCCCTTCACTTTCACAGTGCCAAACATCCACTGTGGCTTCCAATGAATCAATTTCTGCTTCCTCTCCTCCCCTGGAAGCGCATGCTCTCAGTAAAATGTCACAAATAAAGTAGAAGCAAGCCTTTCCCAGGCTGTACTTGTAAACAGAAAGCAAGAGCACCATTCTTCACCAGGAAACTGACCCACAAAGCTTACTGGATTCAGTTAAAGAGATTGAGAAGAAGGTCAGCTGAAAAAACAAAGGGAACTCTCTCTCTCTCGTTACTTCTGATCAAGCTCCACCAACCCAGAAATAAAGCCTTGTCCATGGCAAGGGAAATAAAAAGGAGGGCACATGAGGTGAGAGGTCTGGGGAAGCAAGGGACTCTCACAGGTGCCTACTTTGCATGCTCTGTGAGTCTATCTTCCCTTTTCTCGGGAATAACTGCTTCTATATTTATTCTCTTTTCTCACTTCCCCCAGTTCACACTGTAATGTCTACTAAAGTGTACAGCTTAAAACCTCCATTTCTTTTGAGCTGTAGACACACAAAAGCAATGTGTATATTATATATAGATATGTATGTAGTGAGACTGGCTCTCATAGACACAGACTTCTATGCATATAGTATAAGAATTCTTTTTTCTTTCTGAATTAACATTTCAAGGCTTATCTAACTCTTTGCTATCAATAGCTCAGGATATAGGTGTTGCTGATTAGGAAGAACTCACAAAGTTCATGGACATTTAAATAAAAACTTAGACATCCAGGGTATTCACTTCTCCCATACTCAATCTTAAAATCAGTGAAAAAAATATTTCTAGGATGGCACACATTTCTATACACTGCTTTATTAGCAAAGGGTTAATGATGTCAGGGAGTGTAAAGCTAGCGTGAAGACAGCATGCTTATGTGTTTGGAAAAACATTATCTGCATCATGTCCAAATCCCTCTGCAAACAGATAAATTACTCTATAAATCTTATTACTCCATGTGGATAAATCATGCAGGCAGGTTTACAAGGCTGGAGAGCTGGAAGAGAAAATCTGCTTTGGAGAGTAGGATCTTTGGGATTCATAATCATCCAATGCTCAGGAAATGAAGGAGTACTTACACATTAGGATTTCCTGAGTTTTTACATCTGCAGCAACACACACACACACACACACACACACACACACACACACACACTCCTCTCTAACAAGGATAGAGATCCCAAAGCAGGACACTGTGACAGCCAACCAAATTTATTTCTGAGAAAAGGAAAGAAAACTTTGCTGCTGTAGGCAGCTCTGCTACAGAACAGCTCCCTGATGCCCCAGGGTTTATGCACTATCAGCTCCTTGCACACAGATTAGAGGTTTATTTGCTATTGTATACTGGGGTTTTTATTGCCACAACAAGCAACATTAGCTAGATAGACAAACTGACACTGGGTCATTTTATTTGGAGGAAATGAGATTTTAAAGGCTCTCTAAGGAGAACAGTTTTTTTCATTCTTTTTCTTCTTTTTCTAAAATTTTTGTTAGAATCTGATGGAAATTCAAGGAAAGCTAGGAAAAAGGACAAGGGGTATGTACAGGAGGTATAGGGGGTTAGAAAGAAGAGAAATACAGGAAAAGAAGCTTGAAGCTTTTTAGAACTAGAATTATGGTTAGGTTCTATTTGAGTTTCTCTAGCTCATTGTGCCTTACAGGGGTCAAACTGTTAAGGACTTGGGACTCTTCTTTTCCAAATTTCAATCCAAAGTTATATTTCAGAGTTTGGTAGAGCTGCACAGAGATAAGACTTGGAGGTCAGTAACCAACTTGAAATATCAATTTCATGCCAGGTTAATTCTCCCCTAACCTCTGTGCTTAACATTCCTTTTCTTAAATATCTGCAATTTGGCATGTTCTATTATTTTCTTCTTGTTTTCTCTTTATTCTTTTGTTGATTTCTATCCACATTCCAGAAAAGGCTCAGTAATTAACCAAAGTTCTAAGATTGATTTATTGCCTCAATGTCAATTAGAAGATGCTTACATCAAGTCTCCTATTGGACTCCTGCTGGGCAGAGGGGAGTCCTGATGTGCTTATTCATTCTCTCTCTCTCTCTCTCTCTCTCTCTCTCTCTCTCTCTCTCACACACACACACACACACACACACACACACACACACACACCATGGAGAATGCAGCACTGTGTACCACTCTCTCAGAGCCATAATTCAACAACTCTTCTTTCCAATTAAGGAACCCCAACAAAACTCTGAAGCTCAAAGCATCTGCAATTGCAAAAGCAAGAATACTGTCCAGAAGTCATTAACACCAGAGGGGAAGCCAGCCTTTTCTTGGTGAGAGAAACAAGGTCCTCAGAACCACACATTTAACCAACCCTGCTGGTCCTTGGTAGGGACCGAGGAATTCCCTTGAAATTTGTTGGCAGATACCTCGGCCAGTCAGTGAAAGACATACACACACACACACACACACACACACACACACACACACACGCCTGCAGCATGAGGAGCTGGAGTTCAAGGAGATCACACAGACACGGGCACGCACACAACATACACAAACACACACCACACACACACACACACACACACACACACACACACACACAGTAGAAAAGTTGCCCGAGAGCCCTACCTGAGGATGGCCGTGTCCCCCTGCCTCACGGTGATGTTGTCCGTGCCTCGATTAAAATCCACGCTGCGAACAGGCAGTCCTGTGGGAAGAAGGCAGAGCAATCTCAGTAGGACCAGCGGCAACTGTTTCCGATCAGGCTGAACTCTGCCGACCATGGTGGCCACGCGAGGTGAGGGTCCTGGACTCTGGAGGGTGTGCGCGCTGCTGAGCCGAGGGGGCTTCACCAACGGAGGGCTTTCATCAACAGCAAAGGCAGAACGGCTCAGCCAGTTTGTGGTCCTTTCCACTTTGCCTCTCTCTGTCCCTCTCCCTCGCTCAGTCTCTTTTCCCTCTAAGACTTAACAAAGCACTCATAAAACCCAAGCAAAGGGGGTGAAAGTCAAAGGAACACAATTTCAAAAGAGAGAGAGTACAAATATAAAACCCTCTAGAAAAAGATGAAGAGAAGGCTGCCAACGGAGGGTGTTCTCCAGTCTATTCGGGGCTGGATGCTCCTTTGCCAGTGTCTGTCTGAGTTGAGCTCCTTCCCTCTGTAACCCACTTTCCCGGGCTGGCGGGTGGCAGCAGGGAGTGTAAAGAAACCCACACAGCAGCGGCAGCAGCCCAGAGCCTCTCTCCCCCCTCCTCCCTTTCCTGTTTCTCTCTCCAGTCCCTCCCTCTCTCGGCTCAGCACCTCCCCCTGCCCCCACCGATTTCAACAGCCCCTCCACGTCACTCCCACCGCCCGCCCCTTGGCGTGGCCCCTCGCTTCGCACAACTGCCCCCTTCAGCAGCGCCAGCCTCAATGAAAGCCTGATGCACCTTTAGGTTGTCAGGACAACAGCTCCATTCGAGGTCTGGCTGATTTCCTTAAGAAGAGGGAATGGTGTTTGGAGATACTGTGCAAGAGAAAGGGACAAGGAGAGAGACTCAGGCTATAAAAGAATGGGAGCAAGAGTCCAGGAAAGGAGAGGGAGAGGGAGAAAAGGAGGAAAAGGAGATGAGAAGAGAAGGCAAAGCTTGACAGAGGATGGGAGTGAAACAGAGAAGGGCAGGAAAGCATGGGGGGTCGAGGGGGACCTGTGCTGAAAGATGGGATGAGGCATGTAAAACAGAGAATAAACTTGACAACGGAGGCTAAAATTAAAAGCCAAAGTTGATTTCAAAGTTAAACATTCCTGGCAACTGACTTTTCATGCTCATAGCTTGTTCCTCCTTGCCTCTCTCCTGCCTTTTCACTTACAGGATTAAAAAGGTTTATTTTCTCTTCTCCCCTTATCCCCTCCCCCTCTTGGAGCCCCCTTATGAAAGATGGATTGGAGACAATGCTGGTATTGAGTGGTCTGGGGTGTGAATGCTTGGTTTGTCTTTTCCACGGGCCAGCCTCAGCAGCTGATCCCTGATCCCTAAATCAACCTCACTCTCCAGGAAACCCTCATGCAGTCCCACACAGGAAGGACAGTATTAGGGATGATTGTTTCAACTTCATGCTGCTGTGGCTACCCAAGTATCTACTGGCACTTTCTTCTTGAAATGTTCATAAGCGAGGAAGGCAATTTGTATCAGAAGGCTTGTCATTTACAGGGTGACATTAAGGCTGCATACGGCACTCCAGTAAATGGCAGTTTCCCATCATTTGTTATTCCTTCTACTCCAAGAGTCAAGCCAAGTGATAAGGCCACAGGGGCTAAAGCTATTAGTCACTCTTGTAGGAGCCTCAAAGTGTTTATTAGACACCCCCCTCAGAATTGACACTGAGGGTACAAAATGGACCAGCCAATGACCTCTAGTTTTGTTTTTAAATTTTATTTGAATAGTTAAGACATCAATATGCTGCAAAAATATGAAGTGGTACAGAATGCTATAGAGTGAACTGTAATTATCTTTTCTATGACTGTTTTAGGCAACCCATTTCTCCAGTTTGGAAGCAACAAATATATCTAGTTTCTTATACATCTTTCCCTAAATATTGAATTACATACAAGTACACACACACACACACACACACACACACACCCCACTCACACAAATGATTAGCCAAGGATATCTAAATGTTTAGGAATTCTTCTCAAGCCCTCCAGAATACAAGACATACGGAGGCACTTACTACGCTGACACCTGCCTTGTCTCCACAGAATATTCAAAGTATTTATCTACTATATTTTATCAATTTAAAAGGCAGATACACTATTTTAGATTATGAGAGGGGGGAAAAGGAAAACCTACTGTTTTTTCAAAAAGAATTTGAAGGATCAGGAACAGAATTGTCAAAAATTCAAGATTGATGGGGTTCATTTTTCTCTGTACTACACATTACATTTATATAAATTGAGCTGTTCTATATTGGGGCTGATAATATGCCAATGGTGTTTCACCACTAATTTTAACTCAGATGGTCAAAACTTGGAATGGATTTTTCCACAGAAAAAAATGGTTATGTGGTTAGCTGAATTAAAAAAAAATTCTGTAGTTCCCAATATCAGTGGGAAAATTAGCTTCCAAGTGGAGATGCAAATTATATAAGTCTCTGCCAAGATTGCAGGGAAAAGAGCACCCACCTCCACCCACCACTGCCAACAGGCTTGAAAAATACCCATAGGTTTCTTCTGAGGTTTAGAGATGAAGGGTTGGCTTAGACAAAGGCTTAGATGTAATACCTTCTTTGGGAGGTTGGTGTTTCTCCAATGTCAGGAGGAAGAAAAGAAAGACACAAAGGACTGGGGCTACTAGAACATATATTTCCACTAATGATGCTAGATGAATGGTATGACCTTCTACCCCCAATGATAGAGACTCTGAAGGGATGGATCAGATATATCAAGAATAAGAATATCCTCTTATATCAGAGGACTATGCTTTGAATGAGAGAGAAAGATGTTTTTTCAGGCAAGGAGGAAGTGTGGTGGGGTGGTAGCATAATATTTGTAGGAGATATTTGTGCATGGTGGTTGACTAATGCTTATACCAGTAATCTCAAGTCTCCAGGAGGACTTGTCTGGTCCTAGGATGAAGCATAAAATTTAACATACTAGGGTACAAAATAATTCATACTAAAGTAATGGGAATGTGGAATGTATAGCAAAGCAATCAGATCTGGAGCTTGTCTGTACAATCATCCTGAGAAAAGGATATATTAAGTTAATCAGGATTATAATCAGAATTGTAATAGACATGCCTAACATTCCTAAGAGGATAAAATCATAAGTACATATTGTCTAAAAAAATCAAATAATGTAATTAAAGTTTTTTAATACTTTCAATAAATAAAGTCCAATTCCTGCCAACTTTTATTAAACTAAATTGACTTACTGTGTGCTCTGGAAGACACACAAAAAAAGACTACATTTTTAAAATGCTCTAATTTAAATGTTCCATAATTCAGACTGGATTTCTGAACAATTTCAAAATCATGAAGTTTATTATGTAAGTTAATTATTTAATATTTATCATTTACGTGCAGGTGGCACTTCACATATAATTTTAAACCCAACCCTTGGCACAGAGGGGACACTCTATAATATATATAAGAATAGAGAAGTAATTGACTGTCCAAGCGACTCATATGGCTATCTCATCATTTCCAAAATAATAAATCTATTTGTGTGTGTAATAGCGACTTCCACTTCAACTTTATGCCTCCCAGAACCCTTCCCCTTTGCAGTCCCTTAAGGAACCTTTCTAGTTTTCTCTCCTCTAATAGAATCTAATCAATTCTAGTGAATTAAATAGTCACTATATATGGAGTAACTTATCTCATCCTAATGGTCATCCCCCAAAACCGCTCCAATATTGACTCCTCTGTTTGCTTTCCTAAGAAACATCGAGAAAGAAACAAGTAGGTGAGTTATTGAAATTTATATAAGCTATTTTTTAAACCACTATAGACATTCTTCCAAGAGGGCTGGCAAAAATGAACATACTTTCAGGTTATTTGTGAGGCAAGTATGGCTGTTAGCCATGGGAAACAGACATCATCGCCCAAGTAAGATGATCTTAACTACTACTTTAAAATAACATACTGCCATTCTAAAAGAGGCTTTAGAAGATTTGGGCACTCTCCAGGGACAAATGCTGCAGGAAAAAACAAAGACTGGCTAATGTCTCAGCACCCTAAGAAGCATGGAAGGTTTATTCTCCTGTTAGCTTTGTAAGGTAATAGGCTCACAAGAAATCCAGATGCAGCCTGGAATATACAGCTAATTTAGCTACACAGCTTACATTTTATGCTAAACTTGTCTATAATATTATTAATATACCCCTCTACATCTCTACAGTTGTAAGGTCTTAATCATAATAATGCCAAGCCCGTACTTTACTTTCATAAGTGGTATTAGCATTTCCATATGAACCAGAAATACAGAATTGTTAATACTTCTCCTTAGGATTCCTGCTATGACATTCTCAATGATTTCATCCTAATTTAACAATGTTCAAGTATCTCAGTTTATGCACATAAGCATGGCACTATTTTGTGTGAATTTCCTTTGGAATTTGGCTCCTTTGAATACAGTAGCTTCATTCACATGTGTCCCACTACCTAACAAAATCTATCAGTGACAAGTCAATTAAATATTGTTCAAATCCTTACTGTAGAACCCTCAGCAATGCAAAACACTCAATCCATGTTCTGCACAATTAAAATTGCTCTTTTATGGTTTGTTTTTAGTTCATGCTTTTGTGATTCATTGTTATCATATTGGTCTACTGCTTCTTTGTTCACTCATTCTGTTTTGGTAGGTATCAGTGCTTAGATCTGTCCAAGTTTTCAAAGGCTCTTTAATTCTTGAGCTGCTGAAGACTTATTCTCATATATACACCTTATTATTTCTTACACGTCATTCTCATTAGCCCTTGTACCTTCCTCTCTTATAGACTGCCCATTTTGCCACCATGTATAAGAAGATGGCCATTGCTAACTAATGCTGCATCTACATTGCTGTTGTGCTTTATAATCCTCACATATGGGTAGAATATTGCAACATCTGGAAAGATGGAGGTATAGCATCTTCATTACAGCAAGATGTTAATACAAGCAAGTGATCAGGTCATTATATCTATATCCTCTATTTATGGTTGCTGTAGTGACTTGAATTCCTACCATGAAAAAAAAATAGCCAAAGAGAAATGAGGAAGAGTGGAGGCGAGTAAACAATTCCATACACTGACATATCCATGTAGGTTGATCACTCAATATACTTTAATTGATATGGTAGTGAATCAAGACACTGTACATTCTTTAAAAAAACACAAAAAAACAGGTTTTGTGGCTTTTTTTTTAATCTTAGAGAGGAAGGGAGAGGCAAAGATAGAAATATCAAGGATGAGAGATAATCATTGATCGGCTGCCTCCTACAGGACCCCCACTGGGGATCGAGTCCATCACTCAGGGATGTGCCCTGACCAGGAATCCACTTGTGACTTCCTGGTTCATAGGTTGACGCTCAACCACTGAGCCACCCTGGCCAGGCTAGAACTTACATTCTTGAGGCAGAAATAGACATGAAACAAGTACATAAATATTAAGATTACTTTGGAAAGTAAAGGTTATAGACAAAAATGTGTATGATACAGAGAAAATGGCCTGGA